GAGTTGAACCCACGACCTTTCTAGTTGAGAGCCATGCGCTATGGCTTCCACCGACAAAATGGCAGATGCATTTGCTGGAAAATACAAAAAGTAAAACACAACAGTGGAATCTCAGGGCAGGCAAGTAAAGTGCGGCCAGCATCAGCTGAGGAGGGAGTTTCTTGCTCACAGAGACACCCTTTTCCACTGGCACACCTGAGCCGGGCCAGCATAAGACCCTCATGGTACGCGTGGTTTTTCCACTGGCTATTTGCCATTCTAAGCCAAAACCTGAACCCGTACAAGACATCTGAATATGGCTCGGAGCTAAGCAGGGCCGGTGTGGGGGGGGGGGGGGCAGAAGCAGAGCTAATAACCCATTCATGGCACCTAACGACAGCCAGACCTCTGTCAGGATACAACGTCTCCGTGTCATCTAAATGGTCTCAAGTAATATCCGCGTTTGACATCAGCAGCACGGCTCAGCTTCTGCAGTGGAAAAAACAACCTGGAGCCTCCCGAGCCCTTGCCGGGCTTCTTCTTCCGCACGGCCGATGTAGACGCAGAGCAACGACTACAATTTCACGTTCAGGTGGCTCAAGCCAGATAACCGCGTCAGGAGCAGCGGAGTGCATCGCCGCGATGTCTCCGTCGTATTTGTGGATCGGTGCGTTGCGTCGTTACACGTCGTTACGGTCTGTTCCGGATGACCGCAGTCGCACACTACTGGAGAGTTTTTAATTTTCAATTTGTGCATCAGCTGTCCGCATTCGCTGCTGCCATGGCTTGTCCAGTGAATGTGGTTTAGGGTGGACCGTGGCTTGACGCCATTACGACCCCGCTGCTGTGGAGCCCATCGCTTATTGAGCCGCGGAACGTCGCTCCACTTGAGAGCGCGCTTTGTTCACGGCCAGCTGAACCGTGGTCTCGGCGGTGCCGACTCGCTGTCTCCTTGACCGATGCCAACAATTCTGTACGTGAATCATAACCCTTGGCGGGGTACAAAAACGGCACGTCAATCAATACGTCAATAGAAAAACGTGACGTTAAAATGCGGCTCGACAACTTAACGCAACGTTTGTTTAAAGGCGTATTTCAATTAAGGTTATTTATTTTTTACATTTGCCCTGCCAATTAATTATTGGCAGTTTGTCATGAGCAGAAGATGTCTCTATTCACGACTCGTGTGAACGGTGGACCATCGCGTGTGGAGTGAACAGCCCTGGAAGATGACATCACAGAAATATTTTTTTTAATTCCTTGAGACGTCTTATCCACATCGGGCACACGAGGGATGAGTTTTGTGTTTCAAAGGTTTTTCGGAAAGTTTAGAATCTTTTCGGATCATTTGCATTGTTATGGGCACTTGTGTGTCCTTGGGCACGCAGAGAGTGGCGTCACTTGAATGAAACGCAGTGGAAGTAACGTCATACGAGTGACGTCACTTTCCTTGTTAGAATCCGAAACACAAAAAAAAACATTCTTCGGGTCATACAAAATGTCCTATTTGGGTCTCATGTGATTTTCAGATATTTAGGATTCATCTGAAATTCGAGAGCACATTCCCAGGACACACCAATTGTATGCCCTGCGATGATTGTTCATTGTATGGTACATAAACCCTACATATTCAATTCCCAGAGGTGGAATATACCAATTTAATATAAATGTTTAATGTAATGTATTGTTTTTTTTTTGTTGCAGTCTTTGCTAACCACAACTTTGCTAGATTTGAGAGACAGTTTAATTCCAGGCAGCTAAAACTTGGATGTGAACCCAGGAAACTCAGCAGCTGTGCCGGCTCAGCACTCTCTCATCGCTTTGTTTTATTCTTGCTGCGATTTCTATTTCCTGCATTGCGGTACTTTGCTTTACTTGTTTTGCTTTTATCAGTGTGGTGACCTAGACTCGCCCTGGCTTCTCGAGTGCTCACCTGGTTCAACAAAAATCAACTTGACTTGAGCCACCCAACCACCTCAATTTGTGCCCATTAGAAATCAGTTACTCTGCTTGAAGCCCCGCATCAATCATTCCATTCTCTGAGCCCGTGGACTCTCTATTTTAATCAGTACGCACATGGTATAATCATAATAATACATGGTTCAGGAACACCGTGGTCGTGAACATTTACAGAGCATAAACTGAGAAGTGCACAAAGAAGCGCAGACAAATACAAAATTCGAATTATATCTCGAGATGGGAACACGTGCATTAGACGGCACAAGCAGGCTATTATTTTATTCTCATTCTACGTGACTTTACTGAACGAACCAAAGAAGATAATTCAAGCGGTTAAAGAGGGCGGCCAGGAGGGGCGACGGACCACAGTCGAGAATAGAAACGGAGCGGCAGCGAAGGGACGGAGCGTGTACGAGAGTTTACGTCCACCGAGGAGGTGGAGCGGTGAAATAATTTTGTTTGCAGGCGCTGGGTGGATTGTTGAATTTTAGGATCGTGAGAGGTGGCGGAGGGGATTGGGGAAGCCTTCATCCAGCAGTGGATTCAACCATGGCCCGACGATGATGACGATGGCTCTCTGAGGCAATTGTGAGGATTGATTCTGTACCTTTCTTTTTAACCATCTTGATTGTAATGTCCCTCATTTAGCCGACAGTTCCAGTAGCTGCTTTAGCCGAGATAATTTGCACAAATATCTACGGCCCTCAGTCAACCCACGGCCGGAGGATGGCACTCCTCCCCTACACCGAGCGGGCCGTGAGGGTTGCATGACCATACTTCACCACACTGGTCAGCAGGAGTTGGCGAAGGGGGGCGCGAATAGATGTTGGAGCAGGGTGCAAGACAGCGAAAGATATTTGCTGCACTGAGCACCCACAGAAGCCTATAGCACCTGTTATGTGCATGGCGGTCACCAATCCACAGCGGTCGCCTATCCCAGGCTCAAACCTGCTGAGCTGCCAACATCTGACAAAGGTCATGGGTCATAGGCGTGCGTTCATCAAATGAACCGAAATAGTCCGAATGCTCATTACATAACGCTTTAGCCCGGTTACCCAAGTGGAAGCATGCACGTTTGGCTAATGTGCAACAACGGCCGATTGCTCGTTTCAATTGCAAGTTTCAAGTTCGACGTGGAATTCTCGAGACCCATGTGCGTGCGTAAACGCGTCTGTGCACGCGTGGGCACAAGCAACAGTGAATGTCAGGTTGCTCAGAAAAATACCACGGATCTCTGCACACACGCAAGAGTTGACAAGTTGCTTTACATGTACGCCAAGGTCCGGTGTTTTTTTTTTCTCTCTTCCTGTAAAAGCGTCGGTGCTTTCGCCTTGCGGAATAAAATGTGGACGCAAATATGAAAAAGAAAAAACTGAAGTGCTGGCAAATCATCGGTGCTGACGTTGCAGACAAAAGATTCCTCACGCACGCAATGTGCAAGATGCAAGGCTGCACTTTCGAAAGATACTTTTGCTAAAAATGAAAAACCATCCTTCCTTCCCGCAAGTCGGCGCGCCACCATCCCGCCCGGCCACCGCACCTCCGATGAGCACGGTTAGCTACGTACGGCGCGAAAGAATTTCAACGTACGTGCATAAACACATACGCACGTATCAGCAGCTTAAACACTGCTACCTAGATGCCCTGGATGTTGTAATGCGTGCTCGTGACTCTGGCTATGACAGTCGCAAAAAAAACGATGAAAAAAGGAGGTGGCCTCATGCCGGCAAAGGTCGGAGCGCTGAGCCAGCACCACTGCTGAGGTTGCTGGGATCAAATCTGGGTCTTGGCTGCCATGGTTTAAACTGGGTTCTCAGGGGTAGTGAGTTTGTGTGCTCAGCCTGGTCATCAATGACTGCATAACATTACAATACAAATGTTAAATTAGGTTCTGCACTCAGTTTGGCCACATTCCAGCTCTGAGCATGAAATATTTGTTCGACTGTCACGTGGACAATATTATTCTCATATGTGACAGCGGGTGGAAAAGTACTAGCTTCTACTGTATGTGGACCAGAGACCACTTGACGAGGTGATCTCAGAGGTAGCTCTGTGATATCTGCTTTCGTGGGCGATGCTCTGACACACAGGGTTGTTTTGCGAGACATCCGAATGGATGCTTTGTCTCGTCACCCGACACCAATGTTGCATTTGGGATAAAATTTGGGGTAAATTACCAATACTGGCCTAGACGGACAGTTGCATCCCGAGCCTGCGAGGAATGACAACAGAATGGGGAGGTCTTCATCCATTAGTGGATAGCTCACGGTTGTGATGAAATCGATGAAAATAAAATGCTTTACTTGCAGGTTTTCAGGGTACTACCTCGCAAAAGTGATGACGGATCCCGGCGTGCCCTCGGCTCGACGAATAACGCCTCCGCGTGATCGACGCACAGGGACGGGACCCCGGCAGCATCTGAGTGAGAAACTAAATCGTGACGCTAAGTAAATTTTCACTTTTATTGCCCCTCGCAAACTCAAAAGCGTCTGGGCGGCCCCCGTAACCGCTCGCGGCGGTGCCGCCTGCCGCTCGCCTAAAGACCATCGCACGTTCGGCGCAACTTCTACTCCCCCACTCCGCCCCCGCCAGCAGCCCCCCGCGTTTCTGTGGTTTGATCGTAATTGGAGCCGACGGCAGCGAGGAAGGCGATGGTGGGGAGGTGGGGGGGGGGGGGGTTATGCCGGCTGGGCCACGGTCACCTTGCGACCTCGCAGTGACAGTCGCTCGCTTCTCCCACGCTCCCCGCCACTGCCCACCGTCGTCATCGCAGCCTTGGCTCGCCGGGCGTCCCGACGTGGATGGGTCCCTTTACCGTGCGGGGATACTCGACTCGAGCAGTCGAGCTCTCGTTCAGAGGCCACCCGGGCCACACACGAAAGCCCGTCGACGTGGCTTATCGTCATCACGTGTGGGAATTCACAGCGACCCAAATAATATAAACGCATGTGTAGGGCAAGAGGACCCAGAGGAAAAAAAATCCGCACGACCACAGAGAGAGAGAGAGAATGCGCTAACCCCAAATATACAGGCATCGTCAAGGTCGAGATCAAACTCACGACCTCCGGGGTACCAGGCGAGGGAGACAACATCTCCTCAGCACCACGGGTCCAGCCTCGCTGGGTTGTCCGTGCAGTCAGGAGAAAGGAGGGATGGCTACTCCAGGTCAACGTGCACGGGCAGCCTCGGGAGGGACGCAAGAGAAAGAAAGGGGAGCAGATCTCAGATAAAAGCACAGTCTGCTGCGTGTCGACCTCGCCAAGTTTGGCATTCCCGCGGCGAACTGGCGGCAGCTTGCCCACGACCATCCATCGCGGAGACAGGCAGCACGTACAGGAGTGGTGATCACGGAGCAACAACTATAACAACGATTTCAGTTAAACTCTTTTTTTATTTTCCCAGGTAAGGCCCACTGAGCTATAGAGCTATTTTTCAGAAGCGACCTGGCCACGTAAGATAGCTCAACAAAGTGGCTTATCGCGTGGACATTTATAGCAGTGAAATACTCGAGACGCGTGTTTCTAAATGTGCAGGAAAAAACCGGAGGACCCGGAGAAAAATCCACGCGACCACAGGGAGACACGCAAACCACAAATATACAGGTGTCAGGGTTGAACCCACGGCATCCTGCATACCAGGCGAGGTAGTTAACATCTCGCCACCGTGGCGCCCGAGCGCATTAGCCTCCTGGCTCAGGGCTGGCGTGTCTGAGCCAGGCTCAGGAGACACCGGCCGGCATCGCCTGACAAGTCCCCTGTGCAGCAGCACGAGTCTGTCTCATGACCTTCTGCCAGCCGGTGTTCGACACTTCACGTGGCCTTAAAAGGGCATATGGCCTGGCACAGGCACCGTGGTGACGTCACCATCACTTAGTGGTGAATGACGGTTGTTGTGTACACGTGTGTGTGTGTGTACACAGCTCAGTCAGTCGACCCGTGGCACCTGGGTCTGCCCCGTGACCTCCTGCCGGCGGGCATTCGACACGTCAAGCGGCCTCAAGGTGCACATAGCCTGGCACAAGCGTCGTGGTGACGTCACCGCCACTTAGTGGCGAATGGCGGTAGTTGTTGCTCCGGAGTGGTAACCTTTGTTTTCACACCGACCACGTGGCTGAGCAGGCCTGATGCAGGCCTGCTCAGCGCGTTGTACAGATATTAAAATTAAACCCTCGATCTGGAGCCCCACACCTCTTCATTTCGGACGCACAACGCCGGTGAATCCATTCAGAAACCTCGCAGAGCAGTGCGATCCGTCGATCAGAGATTTATGATGTCCACAGGACCTCTCTACAAAAAAATCCTCCGAGTGGCCGCTTTGCCCTTCACGCACTCTACCATGGGATCGTCGCATGACAGGAGACGAGTCAACATTTCATTGGCAGAGACGGGGATTTTAAACATATCAGGCGAAATTCCAAATTTTATGATGGGTCTTTCTTTTGTGTGCGTGCGGTCACTGGTGACATGGATGCAAACTCAGCACATCTCAGCGGTGGCAGCCGCATGAACGGTCTGACCTCTCAGCCACCCCGGGCCACCAATGAACACAAAGGAACTTTACGCAAGGCTTGCCCCAGTTGTTCCACGAATCTAACTCGGACACTTTCTGTACTCTTTCAAATTTCGGACATTAATTATACATGGCCTGAGAGAATTAATGGTCTAGTGCACCCCACATTAATCTGTCTGCCTCTCTCCCGTCGCCTCCAAATCAGCCCTGGCTTTGCCTCCAGTTCCCCCAATAACTCAACTCCTCCCTCACCCGCCCCCCACAGTGGAACTAAAGTCTGGCCCACTTCAGTCCATGATCACTTACAACAAAAGGTGCTAGCTTTCACCTTGACGAAGGTGAAGCGCGATTCAGGATTCAATTCACAGCAGTCGTTAGTTTTTTTGTGCAGCCACTGATAACGACGTCACCGTGATATCATCGCGGTCAGGGCTGTCGAAACCAGCGCACTGCGCCCTCACTTCCTTCCATCTGCCAGATCCCGTAAACCGCTGTGAGGTCGACGCTTCAAGGACCGCCCTTGCTCTCTCCCATCGACATTATTTGCGTTTAGTTTGTTGTCCTTCAAAAAAGAAAAGAACCACAAAATAAACGAATTACGAGTCCTAACATTGGTCGTGAAAGACTGAGAATTAAATGAATACTTTAGCCATTTAGAGCTTCCTGCCCCAGGGAAGTGTCCAAATCCTCACTCTGCTAGAAAAGTCTCAAACCCAAAATCAAACCCAGAACCTCATCAGCGGCAGACCAGTGCCCTGACCTCTGAGCCAACCGGTCACCCCAATTACAAGCGGGGTTGCTTTGTTGTAGAAGTGATATTGAATCAGCATCGAGCCTGTGAACGTGTCACCGTGTGATTAGAAGGCGGGTCACACCAACGATGACGAGCCCAGCACCCACACCACCCGAATAGTGGGAGCCAGACCACGTGCTACACGCCACCGTCAGAGTTTAAGTACATGTGGCCTAATGAGCTAGCGTGCGAGACCAGCGCACAAGACTGGGGCGGTACCCAGTTACACTGCTGGGTGGACATAGGCGGTTTTGGGGGGGATTCAAGGCCCTTGCCCCATTGTTTCAACTGTCTCGCCAGGAGGTCAATCCAGCGAACTCTGGACTGCAAGTCCAGTGTGCTGCTCACCATTATACCTTGGCGGTTCACCTATCTGGATATAAATTAAGAGTCAAAGCCCCGTTTACCGCGTCTTCCCGTGCACCGCTCCATAGAGGACCTCAGAGCTTGGGGGGCGAATTTGCCACCGGCTCCTCAGCGCGTGGCTGCTGCTGCCGCCGCCGCCCTCCGGCTCGTCTCTGCGACTCCTCCTCCTGGTGCCTCCTCCTGGTTCTCCCTCTCTCTCTCTGCCCGAGCGAGCCGGCACTGCGCAGTGTGTGTATGACGTTACTCGCTTCGTGCAATCTCGGCGTCCGCCTGTCACATTCTTGGTTCGGGAGAGCTCGAATGACCCATCAATTTCCACCGAGTCAAATTTCCACTGGGATCACAAAAATGAAATAAAGAGGATGCGCGAGAGGAGATTGGATTGCTTTTTTTTTTGGGGGGGGGGGAAACCCGAACTTGGAAATGAAAAGCAAAGCCACCAATGTGTCTCGAAAAGGGAGGTTCTCATCAGCGTGTACTGTACCCGCTACGCCGCACGGCACAGACTCGCCGGACGTCGGCGAAGAAAACGGATTGAGAGCTGAGAAGGGCGCAAAGAAGCGTGTAGCGGAGCACGCTTCAAATTACACCGAGAGGCAGGAAGATGTCGATGAGCCAACTGTAGAGACTCGAGACTTTCCTTCAGTGGGTGAGGCCCCATTGGGCAAAAGCAGCCCTCCGGTACAAGGACGGCCACAGGCAGAGGACCCGGCGGTAGTGGCGGCAGTTACAGGGGCATTGCAGGGGCGGGAATAGACATCGCAGAGACGTCGTAATGACCGTTAAGAAAAGTAAGAGGGCTTTGACTTAGAAGGTATGATGGCTCGCAGTTAACATCTCGGTGGCGTTGGGAAAAGTGCTGTTAGCGAGCACCTTTGAAGGCCGGCACGACACACGAGGGGGTGGGTGACCAAAACCACGCCCGGACGCCTTTGTCTCTCCAGTGGCGATGTTTTACACACCGCGGCTGAGTCGACTTATTCGTCACTGGTGTTGGTCGCCGGGTTCGTAGCGCAGTGTAGCGCTAACCGCGACACTACCGCTCCCCCTGTATACATGAACACAGACACACACACAGACACACACACACACAGACACACACACACATCTGTTGTCCTCTACGTATGTGGTCAAGCCACCGGCTGGCTCAGGGGTAGTGCGAGATGTTCATCACCAGAAAGTTTCCAGTTCAAGCACTGGTTGAGAGTTTACTCAGCCCATCATCCCTGCAGAGTCGATCAAATAAGCACCACTTTGTGATGAGATGAAGTGATTGTCCTATGGATTATTTCGCCCCTGCCATATGAATGTGGAATTTCTACTGGCTCTGCAGAGGTGTAATCAGGAGATGAGCACCAATGCATCAATGCTCATTTGAGCAGAACATCACTTTGGCTTCTTTTTGACATTTGCAGCCTATATTCTTTGGGTCTTTCGGTAAAGCCACGAAGATAGAAAACTAATAAAATTATCACGACGTTTCGATCGCAACACAAGCAATCGTCTTCAGGTTGGTTGAGTAAAAAGGCTCTCAGTCACGAGATTCTGAGTTCAAATCTGACTTAGGGTTATCAGAAATCATAATATACACAACTATAATCATCATCATCATGCCTTAAGTACCTCTAATACTGTACAAGCACCACGTTCTGAGACCACGTGATGCAGGGATTTTTGTTTCTTCTCGCGTACAGACTGGCCCGGTCCCTGCCATATGAACATGGAATTTCTACCACCACCTCACGACCATGAGCGGAGATGAGTGATATAACAAAACGCTTTGACCTTTTTCAGACACATTTACAAAAAGGCAAAGACAAAGACAAAGATCCCCCATATAGCCTTAACAGACTGTAGGGGCAAGTGCTGTTAGCGAGCACCTATGAAGGCACGCACACACACACACGCACGCGCACACACACACGCAGACGCACACGCACAGACGCACACGCACATACACGGACGCACACGCATAAAGATCCCCTGTATAGCCTAAACAGACTGTAGGGGCAAGTGCTGTTAGCGAGCACCTATTAAGGCCGGCACGGCGCACGAGGGGGTGGGTGGTCAACGCCACGGCAGGCCGCCTTTGTCTCCCCAGTGGCGATGTTAACACCCCACACCAGGTACTCGTTTGAGGCTGAGTCGACCTAGGGGAGGCCCAGGACCGGTTCAGATAATCGTCACCGATGTTGGCCGTGAGCGGGAATCGAACCCGGATCGCCGGGTTCATAGCGCAACGCGCTAACCACTACACTACGGCTCCCCACAAGACACACGCACACATGTGCGCGCACAAACAAACAACCGCCATTCGCTACTAAGTGGCGGTGACGTCACCACGACGCTTGTGCCAGGCTATGTGCACGTTGAGGCCACGTGAAGTGTTGAACGCCTGCTGGCACGAGGTCACGGGACAGACCCAGGTGCCACGGGTCGACTGACTGAGATGACTGGCTGATGCACCACCTGTGCCCACTACTGTGACAACTTGCTGTGCTTTAGCCACCCGGCGC